ACCACTTTACGCTGCTCGATATTCCTCTCTGCTTGCTGCACCAGTGCGCTCCCTCTGCAGCTACATGCACACAAGCTCATGCTGCTACACACTCTTCACCTTCCATCAGCCACGCTGATCCCTTGCATCAGACGCTGCTACCCCCCGCCCCTCACTACACTGCAGTTCCCTGCTCCTAACCTCCCCATTCCCATGCTACTGTCCCAGCTCTGCACCCCTTTTCCAACGCTGCTGTCCTCCAATCTTCATCTCCCCATTCAACACTGCTATCCTCACTACACAGCCACCTGAACCAACGCTGCTGTCCCCTGCTCTTCATCTCCCCCATCCAATGCTGCTGTCCTCTGCTCTTCATCTCCCCTGTACAATGCTGCTGTCCTCTGCTCTTCATCTCCCCCGTCCAATGCTGCTGTCCTCTGCTCTTCATCTCTCCCGTCCAATGCTGCTGTCCTCTGCTCTTCATCTCTCCCGTCCAATGCTGCTGTCCTCTGCTCTTCATCTCTCCCGTCCAATGCTGCTGTCCTCTGCTCTTCATCTCTCCCGTCCAATGCTGCTGTCCTCTGCTCTTCATCTCTCCCGTCCAATGCTGCTGTCCTCTGCTCTTCATCTCTCCCGTCCAATGCTGCTGTCCTCTGCTCTTCATCTCTCCCGTCCAATGCTGCTGTCCTCTGCTCTTCATCTCTCCCGTCCAATGCTGCTGTCCTCTGCTCTTCATCTCTCCCGTCCAATGCTGCTGTCCTCTGCTCTTCATCTCTCCCGTCCAATGCTGCTGTCCTCTGCTCTTCATCTCTCCCGTCCAATGCTGCTGTCCTCTGCTCTTCATCTCTCCCGTCCAATGCTGCTGTCCTCTGCTCTTCATCTCTCCCGTCCAATGCTGCTGTCCTCTGCTCTTCATCTCTCCCGTCCAATGCTGCTGTCCTCTGCTCTTCATCTCTCCCGTCCAATGCTGCTGTCCTCTGCTCTTCATCTCTCCCGTCCAATGCTGCTGTCCTCTGCTCTTCATCTCTCCCGTCCAATGCTGCTGTCCTCTGCTCTTCATCTCTCCCGTCCAATGCTGCTGTCCTCTGCTCTTCATCTCTCCCGTCCAATGCTGCTGTCCTCTGCTCTTCATCTCTCCCGTCCAATGCTGCTGTCCTCTGCTCTTCATCTCTCCCGTCCAATGCTGCTGTCCTCTGCTCTTCATCTCTCCCGTCCAATGCTGCTGTCCTCTGCTCTTCATCTCTCCCGTCCAATGCTGCTGTCCTCTGCTCTTCATCTCTCCCGTCCAATGCTGCTGTCCTCTGCTCTTCATCTCTCCCGTCCAATGCTGCTGTCCTCTGCTCTTCATCTCTCCCGTCCAATGCTGCTGTCCTCTGCTCTTCATCTCTCCCGTCCAATGCTGCTGTCCTCTGCTCTTCATCTCTCCCGTCCAATGCTGCTGTCCTCTGCTCTTCATCTCTCCCGTCCAATGCTGCTGTCCTCTGCTCTTCATCTCTCCCGTCCAATGCTGCTGTCCTCTGCTCTTCATCTCTCCCGTCCAATGCTGCTGTCCTCTGCTCTTCATCTCTCCCGTCCAATGCTGCTGTCCTCTGCTCTTCATCTCTCCCGTCCAATGCTGCTGTCCTCTGCTCTTCATCTCTCCCGTCCAATGCTGCTGTCCTCTGCTCTTCATCTCTCCCGTCCAATGCTGCTGTCCTCTGCTCTTCATCTCTCCCGTCCAATGCTGCTGTCCTCTGCTCTTCATCTCTCCCGTCCAATGCTGCTGTCCTCTGCTCTTCATCTCTCCCGTCCAATGCTGCTGTCCTCTGCTCTTCATCTCTCCCGTCCAATGCTGCTGTCCTCTGCTCTTCATCTCTCCCGTCCAATGCTGCTGTCCTCTGCTCTTCATCTCTCCCGTCCAATGCTGCTGTCCTCTGCTCTTCATCTCTCCCGTCCAATGCTGCTGTCCTCTGCTCTTCATCTCTCCCGTCCAATGCTGCTGTCCTCTGCTCTTCATCTCTCCCGTCCAATGCTGCTGTCCTCTGCTCTTCATCTCTCCCGTCCAATGCTGCTGTCCTCTGCTCTTCATCTCTCCCGTCCAATGCTGCTGTCCTCTGCTCTTCATCTCTCCCGTCCAATGCTGCTGTCCTCTGCTCTTCATCTCTCCCGTCCAATGCTGCTGTCCTCTGCTCTTCATCTCTCCCGTCCAATGCTGCTGTCCTCTGCTCTTCATCTCTCCCGTCCAATGCTGCTGTCCTCTGCTCTTCATCTCTCCCGTCCAATGCTGCTGTCCTCTGCTCTTCATCTCTCCCGTCCAATGCTGCTGTCCTCTGCTCTTCATCTCTCCCGTCCAATGCTGCTGTCCTCTGCTCTTCATCTCTCCCGTCCAATGCTGCTGTCCTCTGCTCTTCATCTCTCCCGTCCAATGCTGCTGTCCTCTGCTCTTCATCTCTCCCGTCCAATGCTGCTGTCCTCTGCTCTTCATCTCTCCCGTCCAATGCTGCTGTCCTCTGCTCTTCATCTCTCCCGTCCAATGCTGCTGTCCTCTGCTCTTCATCTCTCCCGTCCAATGCTGCTGTCCTCTGCTCTTCATCTCTCCCGTCCAATGCTGCTGTCCTCTGCTCTTCATCTCTCCCGTCCAATGCTGCTGTCCTCTGCTCTTCATCTCTCCCGTCCAATGCTGCTGTCCTCTGCTCTTCATCTCTCCCGTCCAATGCTGCTGTCCTCTGCTCTTCATCTCTCCCGTCCAATGCTGCTGTCCTCTGCTCTTCATCTCTCCCGTCCAATGCTGCTGTCCTCTGCTCTTCATCTCTCCCGTCCAATGCTGCTGTCCTCTGCTCTTCATCTCTCCCGTCCAATGCTGCTGTCCTCTGCTCTTCATCTCTCCCGTCCAATGCTGCTGTCCTCTGCTCTTCATCTCTCCCGTCCAATGCTGCTGTCCTCTGCTCTTCATCTCTCCCGTCCAATGCTGCTGTCCTCTGCTCTTCATCTCTCCCGTCCAATGCTGCTGTCCTCTGCTCTTCATCTCTCCCGTCCAATGCTGCTGTCCTCTGCTCTTCATCTCTCCCGTCCAATGCTGCTGTCCTCTGCTCTTCATCTCTCCCGTCCAATGCTGCTGTCCTCTGCTCTTCATCTCTCCCGTCCAATGCTGCTGTCCTCTGCTCTTCATCTCTCCCGTCCAATGCTGCTGTCCTCTGCTCTTCATCTCTCCCGTCCAATGCTGCTGTCCTCTGCTCTTCATCTCTCCCGTCCAATGCTGCTGTCCTCTGCTCTTCATCTCTCCCGTCCAATGCTGCTGTCCTCTGCTCTTCATCTCTCCCGTCCAATGCTGCTGTCCTCTGCTCTTCATCTCTCCCGTCCAATGCTGCTGTCCTCTGCTCTTCATCTCCCATCCAATGCTGCTGTCCCCTGCTCTTCATATCCCCCGTCCAACGCTGCTGTCCTCTGCTCTTCATCTCCCATCCAATGCTGCTGTCCCCTGCTCTTCATATCCCCCGTCCAACGCTGCTGTCCTCTGCTCTTCATACTTCCCAACACCCCTTCCTTGCCAGGCACTTTCCTGGTCTATAGGAGTTCTCTTCTAACCTCCACTGAACATCTTTGCTCTTGAGGAGCTTCCTGATGGTGGCAACGGAGGATAATGCCAGTGCGGTATGTGTGTGTTGGCACAGTCACTAAATCTGAGGATTTAAAAATGGAGGCCTTTTTGAAATGACAGTAACATTCCAAGTGCCTGTTTGAAGGATTTGTCAACTAAATCAGTTTGAGATGCTTGTGAGTTCATTCAAATGTCATTGACTGACTGGTGCCGTGTGACCTGCACTTGACTTGCTTCAAGTGGGTTTTGCGTTCCCATTGACTTTTATTTGAATGCAAACCATTCTGATGCAAGCAAAGGCCCATTGACATTGTATTTAAAGTGCAACTGAAGCCCAAACGTTTGTTTTTGGATGTAAAGGCGAATGATTAGAACACACGTCAGACTTTCTTTTCTGTGTTTTGACTCCCCCTCTCTATTTGTCCTGGTGACGGTCCTCACTGAAAGTGACAGAAAATCGCAAATTTTAGGTTGTCACCAGAACAGGAGTAGATGGGAAATCTTCCAATGGGGGTACTAGTTCGGGGGACTCTGCTGACCACCATGGATTGCCCTTCACTTTGGAGGGGTTTCCTCTCGCTTCCTGTTGTGGCTATCAGACAGGAAGTGAAAGTAAATCTCACAGATGGTAACAAAAAAACTGGCTGATGGGTTCTAACCCTCCCGTACTCTATACAAAACTAAAATACAATTTCTGGCTTCAGTTTAACTTAAAGGAGAACTATGAGGGGGGGGGGGGGGCTTTTCACTCCCCTCATAGTTCTAGCCGACCTGTGACAATGAGACTGTCACAGGTCGGCTCAGTAGATCGGGAAGTGAGCGAATACATACCGGAGTTCGCTCAATTCTTGATCCTGTCGCTGCAGAGAGCCGTGACGGGAGGGGCTGGATTCCCCCCTCCCCGCTCCGATCCTCCAGCGCTGACTGGCGGAACGGACGGGGGAGGGGGCGGGTACAGCTGGCTCTGCCTCTAGATAGGCGGAGCCAGCTGTCACTCATGCAGCTGGGCAGAGCCAGACATAACTGTCGGGATCCGCTTCAGCTGCGGCGTCTCAGTATATAGTGACCTGTAGCTCGCGGTATACTGAGCCTAGGGTAACGGGAGGACGCTAGTTTGTGTCCTCCCGTTACCCTAAGGAGAACTATGGGGAAAAACACTGACCCCATAGTTCTCCTTTTTTAAGCGCTTATATGAGATTTAGGGATTGGGCTTAGATCTAGTGTATAGTTGGCATAGAGTGCAGAAATGATCTTCAATGAAGGGTTAATCTAGTTGGGAATAAGGCAAGGAGTCCAGAAAGAGATCCCGCCTACTGTGCTTGTGGTCCTAGGCTACTTGTGGATGTATAATGTCACCGGCTCTCCAATCCCTTTTAGCAGTTGTGTAGGTTCAGGTTTGTTTCCAGTTTGCTGAAAGTCCATATTTTTTTATTTTTGTTTTCAGGGGGAAATGTCATTTGCAAATGACGTTCTGGTGGAGGGGGGGTCTTTGTCGGAAATGCACAATGGAATAACTTACCGCGAAGTGCGTCAGTACCGAACCGGCTACCACCTCGTGCGGTTCTACTTCCTAACCCGCATCTATTCAGAATACGTAGAGAGCGTGCTGGCTGACTTCAAAGAAGGCCCTCAGCCCGATGTCCTCATCCTCAACTCTTGTATCTGGGACCTCATCAGGTATGATCGCTTTCCACCCCTAGGGAAAGATTGTGGTCTAGGTCACTCTTATATGGTGCCAATGGGAATGCAGAAGATTCATGATATCTATTGGCGGGGGTAACAAAAAGGAAGAACATGGAGATTCTATTTTGCTCTCCTTGACATTCATTGCCAGAAAGTAGCAATTGTGCTCCAACCAATTTCATTTCCTGGAGGAAGTAGGTCATCATTCTGCTGAATATTGGGGAAAGAAAGTAAGTATTTCCTCAGAAAGAGGTGAAGCATGTAGATGTTAGGAGACCTTGCTTTTTGTTACAATTAGGAAAGTGAACAAATGTGCCATAACGGATCAGAGGGGAAAGCATTGTTCTAATCTGTTCTGCAGGTATGATTACCAACCACTGGAGTTCTACAAAACCAACTTGGATCGCCTGTTTTGTCGGCTCACTGAAGTGCTGCCTCCCGAATGTCTGGTGATATGGAATATGACCATGCCCGTTGGATTCAAAGATGGTGAAGTCCAAGAGGTAACCAGGAAAGAAAGTAACATTGCCCCTGTACCGTGATAACGCTCATTGCCATGCGTCAGCGTGCCTTCTGTCTATTATTATTATTATTATTATTATTATTATTATTCAAGATTTATATAGCGCCAACAGTTTGCGCAGCGCTTTACAATATAAAGAAGATGTTACAATCACAATACAATTCAAGACAAGATGGTGAGGAGGGCCCTGCCCCTGAGGGCTTACAATCTAAATGATCATCCTTTAATATAATTATTCTTTAAGTAGTTGTACATTAAAAGGGAACATGTCCTTAAAGGAGAACTATGAGCCGAGTGAAAATCGCTCACCTCATAGTGCTAGCCGACGTGTGACAATCAAACTGTCACAGGTCGGCTCAACAGATCGGAAAGTGAGGGAATGCATACCGTCGCTCGCTCACTTCTCAATCATCTCCCTGCAGAGAGCCGTGACTGTCACTCATGGTCTCCCTGCAGGGATTCCCCTCCTCCCGCTCTGATCCTCCAGCGCTGACTGGATGGGAGAGGGGGCGAGTACAGCTGGCTCTGCCTCTAGATAGGCAGAGCCAGCTGTCACTCACGCAGCTGGGCGGATCCAGACAGTAATGTCAGGATCCATCCCGGCTGCGGCGGTCTCAGTATATCGCCAGCTGTAGCTCTCTATATACTGAGCCTAGGGTGACGGGAGGACGCTACTTTGTGTCCTTCCGTTACCCTTAGGAGAACTATGGGGAAAAACACTGACCCCATAGTTATCCTTTAAAGAACAACTCTGGGCTCCCCCAACCAACTAATTGTCGGTTAGTTTTTAAAACAATTGATTCAAAATCCTCATCTAAATCTGTGGTCACCTGGGTCCTGATTCTTTTATCCTGCTGCCTTCTGCCCATCACTTCCACCAACTTCCTTTGGCCTCCTTCCTTGCTGTAATGCAACCTTGATTTCTCAAGATTACATATCCCATCATGCATTGGTTCCAGCAAGGAATGATAATGTTACATTGTTCAGACGTTGAGTTGGAGTTCAGAAGGCAGGCTTTGTCAGATTGGTGACACAAGGAAGTGCACATTCCCAGGGCTGGATGTGATGGTGTCAGTGTATTGCAGAGGAAACTTATTTCCAGGGCTTGAAAAATTTGATAGTGTCTCACCAGTCAGTCAAAAATGTCACCAGTCAGCATGACCGGACTATAGCCTTGCAATTTATGTTAAAGTTTGGGGACAGATAGAGCTTTCTTTTGGAGGTATATAATCACCACGGGGGGTATTTTTTTTACTATATAATTAAAAAAGTACCATAAATTTAAAAAAAAACAAAGTTTCCCTACGTTTTATGTTATAAAACATTTATTCTTACCCATATTTTTAGTAAAACATAAAGAAAGAAAGTCGGTCACGTCGGGTAAATAGACACCAAACATGTCAAGCCTTAAATTGCGTGCGCCCTCAAACGCCCATAGGTGACGATTAAAACGTTTTTACTGTTCATCAGTTTTTAGTGTTATCTCGTCGGGCTCCGCCGTCCTCTCGTCGCAGACGAGTGGATTTTCGAGCCCTGCTTATTTCAAATGTTTCTGTTACCAAAACATGGGGGCGATTGTATTGGTTGTGGTCTGTCTGGTATTGTTGTTGCAGTAGGTTAGAGTAAAGGTATGGGTTTTTTGCGCTGGGACATCATAGAGGGAAATTTCTACAGCGCCACGCTGGCAAACTTGCACAAAATGGACGTGATGGACATGCACTACCACTTCCGCTTCGACCTGCGCGCCAGGACTCGGGACTCCATCCACTGGAACCAGCTGGCCCACCGGAAGTACACCCAGATCCTGATGTCGCATATCGCTCAAGCATGGGGCGTGCAGGCCCCTGAGACACCCATAGCGAAATGTAAGTGGCCTTTCCTCTGTGTGATTGAATGTCACTGCTCATGGAAGGTTTCCATTACTTTTTTTTTTTCCTAGAGTATCTCTTTAAACTTTTTCTGAAAATTACCAACATGGAAAGAATGACCTTCCATAGATTTATTGAAGGAGAAACCTTTTGGAGGGGAGAATGTCCTCAACCACCCTCACTAGGAAAAATGTATCCAGGTCCGTTTTTAAGCGGCTCTGAGGTGCATGCAGTACCCATTAGGTTGTAGCAGTTTGCCGTGTTGCCCATTTCTCAGATAAACCGCGTACGGACATCACAACGTTTTTTTTAAGACTTGTGTTCCTCAATAGACTAGAAATAAAATAGGGTTTTGGCATGTCCCATAAAATCCTTTTTCTCCATTGAGGCACACAGCCCCCCCCCCTTCTGTTTATGATCATACTCTTGGTACTGCTTTGCTACAGAACTTTCTGGTTGTAGGAAGGGCTATAACCTGGACTGGCCTGATTTTTTTTTTTTTTTGATTGCCAGTGTTCAGTTCAGTGGTAGGCAAAAGTATAACCGAAAGGTTTTAGAGATCCTGTGGTCCTCAATGGACGTAAGGAAAAAGGAATTTACGGTGAGTGCAAAAATCCTATTTCCTAAATTGAGCGGTAACCATGTTTAAGACCATGGATCCGCCATGTAGTCTGTCACCTCCCCTAGTGTCAGTTCATATCTGTTCTGTCATTTCTATCTGCAATCTTCCTCGAGAAAACCTGAATAGATCACGTCCTCGGCATTCAGTCTAATTGAAGAAAATATATCAACATTTAAGATTGCAAAAGAACCTCCTCCTGTGTTCATTGAACGAAAAACAAAATGGCTTCCACTGGGAGAGTTTTACATTGTCATAACCCGACACTTTCTTGCAATTTTTTTTCATCACAGGTCATCCCATAAAAAGCGTTCCTCCTGTAGGTCTCTTGAGGAAAGTCCCCCTCCGTCGCCCACCGTTTAATGACCAGGAAAACAGCCAGCATCACTTCGGTAAGGACCTTCTATACGTTGGGTTTTGGTGTGTGTCTGTCTTCTGTAAGGACCTTCTATACGTTGGGTTTTGGTGTGTCTGTCTTCTGTAAGGACCTTCTATACGTTGGGTTTTGGTGTGTGTCTGTGTCTTCTGTAAGGACGTTCTATACGTTGGGTTTTGGTGTGTCTGTCTTCTGTAAGGACCTTCTATATGTTGGGTTTTGGTTGTGCAGATGTTTTGGTGACGGTTGTGTTATTTTTTTTTACTCTTGACCCGGCAAGATACCAATAGATCACAATAAATATCCATATATCCTAAAATGAGCCCCTCCTGTAATAAATAACCTAATTTATCTTTAAGATTAACCCCTTAAGGACTCGCTGCCAAGGCCTTTTTTCCATTTTTTTTTTGCACACGTTTTATAATCCACGTTTTAGGCCTATTCTGACTCCGATTGTTGAGATAGCGACTTATCCCTTGCTGAGATCTCTGCCTGGCCTGTATAAGCGGATACAATCCCCTAGGACAATCCGTATCAGATAGCTGAACTCACCAATACCTTTTCCATCCACAAAGGTGCTTTATTCTGTGCATCAAGTTTACAGCAGATAACAGGATACAGCAGATGAATGAATTGCGGTATTTAAGCGGACAAAAGATAATACTGTCTGTAGCATGCAATGCAGATTACATGTGCCCCTGTTGCATGCGGATTACATGTGGCCTGTTAGCTGCAGCCATGACACAGGAAATGCTACTGAGAAAGAAGGGCGAAGCATTACACACAAAGAGAAATGCATCATAATGTGAGGGAAAGGAACACAGAAAAACATGTGCATTACCAAAAAAAGACCACTAGATGGCAGCACATGAACTAACCAAAGACTATCCATAGGAAAATGGTCTATGGAAATAAACTCTATAAATTCTAATATCACACTAACGTGAATGATAACTGCGGCTGTAAATGCAACTATTGAGGCGGCACAAGGCCTGAAAGTTACTTCAAACCCACAAACATATATATTTTCTGAAAGCCAACACCCTGTAGAATTGGCGGCAGTTGCAATTTTTTGTATTGCACGACATTAGCGCAACTCTTTTATCAAACCCAAAAATTTAGTGAGAAATGCCCTTAAGTAAAATTTAGTGCCCCAAAACACAATATAATACCAATTTTTTTTATGGCTCTGGAAATTAACCTCTTGCCGTCCGCCCGTAGTAGAAAAACGGACGGACGGCACTGCTGCATTGGCGGGTTGCCGTCGCCAGACAGCATTTTTTTTCTGCTCGCGCGCGCCCCCTAGCGGGCACGCACGGACAGAAAAGACCCGGGTGTTTCACATATAGGCGATCAGCGGGTCCATAGCCCGCCGATCGCCTATATGTGCTCGTTCGCGGCCCCCCCCCCCCGCGCCCGGTCGGCGCTTCCTTTTTTTTTTTTTTCCCCCTGACCCCTCACCTTGATTCCCGGGATCCGCTGCCCCATCTTGGATCCCGGGACCGGCTCCGAGGGCGTCAGGAGGAGGAGGACGGGAGATCAGCTCCTTGCTGATCCCCGTCCGGGCTGTGAATGCAGAAGTGATGTGTGTTACATCACTTCCGCATTCACCTGTCAGTCATCTGGAGAGAGAAGAAGCTGATAAAGCAGATCTCTGCTTTATCAGCTTCTTTTGGGGTCCATAGGTGATATTAGGGGTCCTAGAGACCCCTAATATCTCCATAAAGAGGACCTGTCAGTGTGCCTTTGCTATTATATAGGGGGTTGTTATCCCCCTATATAATAGCAATAACAATAAGTGCAAAAAAAAAAATATAAATAAAAAAAAAGAAAAGTAACACATAAAAAAATAAAATAAAATAAAAGCCACATATAAAAAAAGGGGAAAAAACCCCCCCAAAATGTTTAACTCCCCCACCCCCACGTTTACGCGCCTATAAACGTAAATACGCGTCCGGTGCCCCAGCGCGCAAAAATTACAATTGCGCTACACATGTTACATATCGCCGCGAACGTCGCAGTGAGAGCTATCATTTTAGGGCCATCAATCACTGATAACACTAAACTGATGAGCGGTAACAGCTTTTAAAGCGTCGCCTATGGCCAATTTTGGGTATTATCGTTTTTTGAGGTTTTGCGCGCGCACGCAATTTTAAGGCTTGCCATGTTTAGTGTCTTTTTTACCCGACGTGACCCGACTTTTATATTTTACCAAATAATTGGGTAATAAATGTTTTATCATTTAATATAGGGGAAACTGTTTTTTTTTTTTTTGTTTTTTTAAATTTCTGTGATTTTTTTTCCTTAATATAGTAAAAAAATAAAACCCCCAGTGGTGAATAAATACAACCAAAATAAAGCTCTATCTGTCCCCAAAAAAGGGTATAAAATTCATTTCAGTACAGCGCTGCATGACGGAATAAATGTCAAAGTACCGCAGCGCTGAATACTGAAAAATGGCCTGGATGGGAAGGGGGTGTAACACCGCGGATGTCAACTGGTTAAAGATTAATTTCTTGATTTAATCGTTAAACTTTTTGATTAAAATTCTTTTGATCGCTAATTTCATTGTATTACTTCCTTGCTGTGCTGTAGGTGTATAGGCCAATGTAGTTGGATCTGTATGTGCGTTATAACTAATCGATTAATGGAAATTTTTTTTTAATCGAACACTAACCTTTTAATCCATAGATGACGCTTTTAAGCTCCCTAGTGTGCCCTGTAGAGGTCCTGGGAGCCAGAATGTGATGTCACACCGGTCCAGGCACCTCTACAGGACATGTGAGGAAGCTGTAAGCAATGCTCGTAAGGATGGAGTTCCCTCGCAGCCATAGCCCCATCTCATCCCACCTCAAGTTACACTCGGCACTGGGCAGCATATTTTCAATGGCTGCTTGGTGTGAGAACTGACAGCGCTGCACTAGGGGGAGGCTGAGGAGACTCTCACCTAGAAAAGTGGAAGGCATGCAGCGACCCACTGAACATGGGGTCGTGACACACTTTTGGGTCACGACCCACCAGTTGAGAACCAAGGGCTCTATACAGTGTAGTACTTGTATGTAAACTTGCTGCAAATGTCACGTTGTCTTAGGACGTGTCATCCTGCTTGACTCTGACTACTCTGCTCTACTCATTACTGCTAATTCTCTCAGAATGGTCCTAAAAACAGTTTTTCTTAAACCTGGGACTTCTAATTTTGACCTGTTTTTAAAAAAAAAAAAATCTAGCTAAAGCCGATCCATTCATTAAAGTGAAACTCTAAATAGATTCCACATTCTCTGAGCACCGATCTCCACTTAATATGAGGGCTGCTACTAAGTATTTTCATCATCGAGTAGTTGGCCGATTTTTTTATTTTATTTTTTTTTGGTATTTTTATCGATCAATCGGATAAAAACAAAATGAATACCCCCCACCCTTAAATGTAAAATAAACAAATGCAGTGTTACAAGTTTACTTCAGAATAAAGCTGCTTGCACAGTTTGCAATTGGGCAGCTGGAATGCACGGCATTGCGGTACTGCGTGTTCTGGTGCGGAGGGTCGCACTGCGGGCAGGAGATGCTTTTGGGGTGCCATTGAAATGAAAGGCACCAGAATGTCAGTGCAAAACCCCAAATTTAATAATAATAAATAGCCGCCCTCCCCAAGTTATAAAACTAAAAAAAAATTAAAAATTATATATATAACTTGTATCTTTTAGTGTTAGGGGCTTTGGAGAAATATCCAGGTTCTCAACAGACCCCTGATGTTTCCCTTTTTAAAATTAAAAAAGGGTCCTCAATCTCCTTTTTCTGTAGCCCCAGCACTCTATGAACAGGAAGCACTCAGTACAGTGGCTTCCTGTTCATTCATAAATCGAGGAGTAACCGTTTACTTTGTCCACAATCATAAATGAAAAGTGATGTAGAGCACTTCCTGTGCATTCATAATTGGGGACACAGTATCTGAATACCATGTCCTCAATTTATTTACAAACCTCATAGTGATCAGTACTGATCTCTGCGATTGTTTGAATATTACAGGGAACCATCAACAAATATGTTACATATTTGCTGATCGTCCGCTTTCTCCTTCCTGCTGGGTGCCTCTTATCCGCTTTCTCCTTCCTGCTGGGTGCCTCTTATCCGCTTTCTCCTTCCTGCTGGGTGCCTCCTATCCGCTTTCTCCTTCCTGCTGGGTGCCTCTTATCCGCTTTCTCCTTCCTGCTGGGTGCCTCCTATCCGCTTTCTCCTTCCTGCTGGGTGCCTCTTATCCGCTTTCTCCTTCCTGCTGGGTGCCTCTTATCCGCTTTCTCCTTCCTGCTTGCTGCTGGGTGCCTCCTATCCGCTTTCTCCTTCCTGCTGGGTTTCGGCAGGGGGAGAAGCGCTCAACAACTTCTTAATTATGTTGGTTGTAAGCTATGTGTCAGAAAACCTTCGTTCCACAACTTTTATAAAATATTCCCCTTTGTCTGGGTCACCTCCCCTAGTGTCAGGACACCTTGTCTGTTCTATCAGTGTATTATGCAGGATGCCCGGGTTGGGTCCTTGTTGGGCGCTGTGTCTCGGTTATTTCAGTAGTGGTCCCTTTAAGGGGGGGCAACAAGGGAGGTTTTGGAGCATTAAGGGGTTCTCACCTGTACAGGGTGAGGGGATCTGAGGTGGGACTTTGCAAGACAGTTTTCCTTCCTTTTTAGTCTTCCCAGGATCATTAAGTCCTGGTATGGGTCCTGGAGACTAGAAAGATTTTGGGTGGGACAGAACCTTCACCCCTAACTATGGGTAGTGTGGGTCTGAAGGGGTTAGCCCACCTGCCGGGGAGGGCAGGAAGCCAGTCTGTGAAAGGTTGTTTTGGAGCAGGACAGAAGTTATTTAAAGAGCTGTGGACAGTTTGGCACCGGAGACCCTGCTAGGCTTCTGTGACCGTGCTGGACCCCTTTTTGGAACAGGCTGGTGTAGGCCATGTTTGTTCAGGCGGTGAGCTGCGGTATTATTTTGTGACGAAGGTTTTTTTTTTGGCTTTTTGCTGAAGAAAAGCTCTTCGTGTTCCTTGTTTTGGAAAAAATTGTGTTTTTTTTTTTTTTTTAAATTTTATTTTACAAATCCAGCCGGCTGATGATCCCAAACATCACGATACATAACCTTCCTCAAGGAGGCTTGAGTACATGTCTTCACTATCCAGTCTAGTTGGGAAGATGAAAAGAAAAGTTAGTCTGCAAAAGAGCCCACTGCATTCAGCCAAAGACAAAATGGTTTCCAGAGGGAAGAAAGTCTTTCTGATTCTCATCTCCGGTCATAACATACAAAGTGCTCCTCCTCCCATGGTTCCCTTGGGGAGTGTTCCCTATCCTCTCCCACATTGTGACCAGAAAGATGAATCACATCAGTTTTGGCAAGGATCTCTATTTTTGTGATCTTGTCAGAGTTCAGGGTCTAGTATATTTTGCAAACCATGAGCCTCCCTTGGTAGTTTAAACAGACAACCGGCGGCAAAAGTCACCGGGAGTCTGTTTAAACAGCCCCGATGCTGGCGACTTACACTGTACGTCGTCAGTCACGAAGGGGTTAAAGGAGAACCACAAAACCTGAGTGACGGGACCCCCTGCCCACACCCTTGGCATTTAGTGGGTCAGACAGTACGCTCGATGTTGCTACTATGATACTAGACAATGTCTGGCTGTGTTGTATGTTACATTCCTCTCCTTACACTGTGCTGTACCTGACATGCTCAGGACTGTTCCACTTCATATACTTTGCTGAAACCCATACCCTCCGAGTTTTGTGGTGCAGACAGTGAACTCTGTACAGACCTGCCACATACAGGACACTAAAAATGTGCACACTTTTCCTATCATCATAGTTAACAAAAAGTCCTTTTCATGACCTACTCCCTATCAATCCACTTCACGTCCTGTGCTAAAATGTGCTTTTCCCCCGACTTTTTGGGTCCTTATGCTCCTCCAGACGGTCGTGTTCTGTACACTGAGCAGTATGGTACCTATGTAATTTTACTCTACGCTGCTGTACATTTTATACGCCATACCACCAATATTGCAGAATAGACCTGAAAGTTCTTCGTACCACTAGAGCCTGATTATTTCCTCCCTATTCAATGAATGGCCATCATTTCGCTGGTTATCAAAATGAGACAAAATGTATATATTAGGGATGCACCGATATATCGGCCACCGAAACATATCGGATGAAAATTGCACTTTTGGCTCAATGCCGAAAGTGCCATTATCCTGCCAATACATAGGCGCATCCCTGGTTTCTCTCATCCCCGCTGGGCGCTGCTCTGTGTCCCAGCGGGGAGGAGAGAAAGTGACAGCCGAGCGCTGCGGGAGGAGAGCGCTGTGAGTGGCCGGCGTCTCTCCTCCCGCTCCGCTGCCTATCACAGTGCGGGAGAGCGGTGTGTGGGGGCGGAGACAGACGGCGCTGTCACAGGAGGCTGAGCTCTCCTCTCTACACCGCTCGCTCAGCCTCCTGTGTCAGAGAAGAGCCAATGCAAACACTCGGCGATCAGTGATCTGAGTGTTTGTAGATTGAGGACATGGTATGGTTACTAAATCCTCCGTTATGAATGAATGGGAAGTGATCTACATCTCCTCCTGTCCATTCATGATTGGGGTTATAGTAAACATACTCGGTCCTCATGTTATCAATGAACAGGAACACTCAGTATAGAGGATTCCTGTTCATTGATAACACGGGGATACAGAAAGAGAGATTGAGGACTTTGTGTCCTCAATCTCTTTTTTCTATTTTTAAAAAGGAAATATCGGAGGTCTGTTTTTAGAACCTTAATATTTCCCCGAAGCCACTAAAAGTAAAAAATATAAATATTTAATAAATGAATTGATAAAATAAAAACATATTTAAATAAACCTTTTCGGTTTCGGCCTGACCATTTTTTTTTTATTTCTGAGAAGGCCGGAGAAGTGAATAATTTAGGACAACATAGCTGATTTTGGAAATGTTCTCCAACTCGGCTCACTTTCCAGTTCATCTATGTTGTCCTAGATTGTTCCCTTCTCCTGCCTGCTCCAAACTCTTCACCCTTTTGTGAATAACCCTGTCAGTGATGGGCAATTATGTTCATCAATCTACCAGGTTAGTAATTCTGTTGGATATTTGTGCGGCAGCAGGTCTAATCTCTAGGGAAATATACAATTCGTGAATGCTGAATTGTGCGAAAGATCTAAATTCAAATACTCTGGAGACTAAAAAAAAATGTGCAATTCTTGTATTTGATCCTTCCTGTTGGTTGAGATGCACTGTACGTGTGGAGAGAATTCTTCCATCAGACACAGCTTGATAACAAAAAATGTCTCCATGTACATAAACAACAGAAATTGGTGTAGATCAGGGGCGCCCACAATTTTTCTGCTGTAGATCTACTTTTCAAATGACGAGCTCAATGAGATCTACCAACGAAAGAACACCTGCATTCAGGGGCAGGAGGGGGTGTGACGGTGCATTGAAGTCGATGGCACCGCAGCCACGCCCTCCGCCCGAAGTGCGATCGCCCGAGTTCGTTCATTCATAACTGGGGACACATGGTACTATGTGTCCCCAGTTATTTACAAACACTGGAGTGATCAGCTGATCGCTCCAGCGTTTGCTCTGCACAGAGGATCGGAGCATATCACTGATAAGTACCGATCGCTGCTCGGTCACTCACAGAGCTCAGCCTGCAGCTTTTCCTCTGGATGCCCACTGCTCTCCCCCGCCTGCATGCAGTGGGAATTTTTTTGGGGGGGGGGGCGCTGTCACAGCAGCATGGCCGAGCGGGGAGGAGAGAGAGCGCCACCGGCTGTCAGATCCTGGCCGAGCGTCTCCTTCTTTCTTTCCTCACCGCTCAGCCATGCTGCTGTGACAGCGCCCCCCATTCAGCACTTCCTTCACTTCTCCTCGGATCCCCACTGCATACAGATGGGGGAGAGCAGCGGGGATCCAGAGGAGAAGCCCCACTTCTCCCTGCTGGCTGCGCCTCCCAACCCCCCCACCGCTTTGCGATCGACCTAATGGCCACCCCTGGAGTAGACCGTCGGGTTTCCCAAGAGAAGCTCGTATTTACGTGTTCTGTGGTCCCAGCATGTAGAAACAATGTATATCCAAGGATTGGGGTAGGCCATGTTTTCGAACTCTGTTTCCACAAATTTTATGAAAGTACTTTTTTGTCCCGCCACCTATTGTTCGTACATAGCCTTCTTCAAGGAGACCTTTTAATAGGTCATGTCTTCAGTATCTAAGCTTGTTGAGAAGATGAAAATCTTTTAATCTGCAAAATAACCCACAAGGTTTCTTTAACCAGGAACAAAATGGCTTCCAGTGGGTCTAGAAGTCTTTATATATTGTACTATTTTGCAAATTTTCATCTCAGGTCATTTCATACACGCTGCTGCTCCTCCTCCAGTAGTCTCCTTGAGGAATGTCCCCCATTTTCCTCCCCAGGAAAACCGCAATCACTTTGGTAAGCAACTCCTTTATGTTAGCTGGTAATGTTCCGTGATTCTGATGACACTCGGATGGATGATGTCTTTTGTAGCTTTGTAGTCTTGCTGGTGATGGTATTGTGGTCATGGAAGTGGCTGAAAGTCGCAGGGTGGTGTCTGGCATCACCTTTTTGCTAGAGTGTTGTGGGGATGGAGGTGGCTTTTGCTGATGTATTTGAGGTCTGGCTGGGTTTTGCCATGGTCATTTTTCTTCTCTTGATTTAGCTGAGTGGCAAAGGCATTCTTTGGGTAGCTGGGTGAAAAGCATGGAGTTTGGTGGACTTGTGTCTGTGTGAGCTTAAGGTGGCTGTGTTTTTTGTAGCTTGCACTTGCTATTTGTACCCGTGTGTTGGCATGACATGGATGGTGGTGTCATCAGATTTCTTATATTGCGGTTTCACTGATTTATGGAAAACTTTCCTACTCAACAGGACCCATGTTCCTCCCTGGATACACGTCTTTTGATGATAACGGTGATAGCGATATGATCGGTCAGCATTTAAAAGCTTCTTAGATGTCTGTTTTGTATGTGTATCCCAACAATTGCCTCACTCTAAAATAATTGTGTTCTCCGTCAGGTAAATGCAATTCTGGACGCATTGGTTTTCATCCAAATGAAATGAATCCAAATGGTAAGAGCAAAAAAAGACCGCCAGTGTGATGCCTTCAACCTAACACGTCCTTCATGGCCACCATTTTTTACTGTATTCCTACACCTCACATTGTTCCCTCTGTTGTATGATGCTTACACCTTGTATTGTGCCCTCTCGGTTCTCCTCTCTGATCCTCACACCTTGCACCGTGCTCTCTTCTCTCTGATCCTCGCTCTTCTCCTCTCTGATCCTTGCACCGTGCCCTCTCTTCTCCTCTCTGATCCTTGCACCGTGCCCTCTCCTCCTCTCTGATCCTCGCACTATGCCCTCTCTTCTCTTCTCTGATCCTCGCACTGTGCCCTCTCTTCTCCTCTCTGATCCTTGCACCGTGCCCTCTCTCTTCTCCTCTCTGAGCCTTGCACTGTGCCCTCTCTTCTCCTCTCTGAGCCTTGCACTGTGCCCTCTCTTCTCTCTGAGCCTTGCACTGTGCCCTCTCTTCTCCTCTCTGAGCCTTGCACTGTGCCCTCTCTTCTCTCCTCTCTGAGCCTTGCACTGTGCCCTCTCTTCTCCTCTCTGAGCCTTGCACTGTGCCCTCTCTCTTCTCCCCTCTGAGCCTTGAACTGTGCCCTCTCTGTTCTCCTCTCTGAGCCTTGCACTGTGCCCTCTCTCTTCTCCTCTCTGAGCCTTGCACTGTGCCCTCTCTCTTCTCCTCTCTGAGCCTTGCACTGTGCCCTCTCTCTTCTCCTCTCTGAGCCTTGCACCGTGCCCTCTCTCTTCTCCTCTCTGAGCCTTGCACCGTGCCCTCTCTTCTCCTCCTCTCTGAGCCTTGCACCGTGCCCTCTCTTCTCCTCTCTGATCCCTGCATGTCCCTGCTGTGTCCTTTTGAGATGCCTACAACCTACTCAGTTGTATTATTGTGTACTTCCTGATATGTTTTAGTTTAGCCCACCACTGATTATTATTGTTTGTTCCTGGCAGCTTTCTCCCCCTTTGTTGAGGATAGTCCAATGTTGGTCAATAATCTTCCACCAAGAAATGTCAGTTTTGGTGGCTACGGGAAGATAACAGGTATAAACTTTACAGTTAAGTTTTATGCAATGGTTTATATAACGCAGTGGTCTGCAGCCTGCTGGCCATAGATCTTACAAGCAGGTCAGAAGGCTTTGCTTGTTCTAGGGAAGTAGAACATCTCCGGGGTTGCATACAATGCACACCCCTGACATACAGCTTCCCTGTGTTTGGTAATATACAGTATACATCTTGCAGGTGTCATTTTGTATTTACATAATTCCCGTTTTCATAGCTTTGTTGTATGTGACAAAGTTTTAAAGGAGAACTATGGGGTCAAGGCTTTCCCCCATAGTTCTAATGGGAGACCCAAAACTAGCGTCCTCCCGTCACCCAAAGCTCAGTATATAGGGAGCTACAGCTCGCGGTATACTGAGAATGCTGCATCCGGGACGGATCCCGACATTACCGTCTGGATCCACCCAGCTGCGTGAGTGACGGCTGGCTCTGCCTATCTAGAGGCAGAGCCAGCTGTACCCTCCCCGTCTGTTCCTCTAGTCAGCGCTGGAGGATCGGAGCTGGGAGGAGGGGATTCCCTGCAGGGAGCAGTGAGTGACGGTCACGGCTCTCTGCAGGGATAGATCGAGAGGTGACCGAGCGACGGTATGTGTTCGCTTACTTCCCGATCTATTGAGCCGACCTGTGACAGTCTCATTGTCGCACGTCGGCTCGAACTATGAGGATGATTGATTTTCACTCGCCTCATAGTTCTCCTTTTTAAGCTTTCTTTTTGCAAGGTATTGGTTTCTCATGTTTACATGCTCTATAGGGACTACTTTGGTAGCCTTCGGTTAATCCTGCTCTTTGTCTAACACTATATTGTATGAATGAGTGCTTGCCTGCTTAATTCAGATATGACGGGGTATTGGATAATTGTTTTCTGTGCTGGAGTACAGTATATATTTCCACTGTTAAGTTTCCATACATGGCTATTAACTTATCCTGCATCACGTGTGGCAGCACGATCAGCTTAGCATGCTGCTGCAGGTTTTTGGTGGTATGGATTGGGCTAGGTTTCATTAGGGGGGGCTGTGTTTGGGGAGCAGAAGCTAAAGCGACCCCGTCAGCTGTCAAAATATCTACACGTGCAGAAAAAACAAGCAATTTTAAATGCTTACTTGCAGTGTTTTTATATATTATTTTCTTGCTTCTCCATTGAAGGACACCGGAGGTCTTTAACATTCAGGCTATACTGCTGCCTACAGGAGAACTGGACACTGGCAAACTAGCCCAGGATAAAACCTCTTGCGTGCCATAGTTTCTTGCTAGTATCCTCAGAAAGCCGACCTTTTCTACTGGTCCGCTGTGTGTAAGAATAAAGCTGGCCATACCCTAGTGGAGTGGTTCTCAACCTGTGTAACCTCAGGACCCACATTTGTCCTCGGTCATTAAGTTGCGACCCAAGTCGTAGTGCAATGGAACGCACGGCAGTGTGGGCTGCTGTGCTGGAGCTCCATTCATATGTGCGTTGCTTGCACAGCTCCTGTGTGTCCCTGTAGAGTAGCTCGGAACCAGAATGTGATGTCACTCCAGTCCAGGCACCTCTACAGGACATGCAAGGGAGCTACAGTATAAGCAATGTACATATGGATGGAGCTCCCTCGTGGCCGTACCCCCACCCCACCTCAAGCTGACACTTGGCGCCTGGCAGCATATTTTGAATGGCTGCTCGTTGTAAGAATGGACAGTGCTGCGCTAGGGGGAGGCAGAGGCAGAGGAGCCTCTCACCTAGAAAAGTGGAAGGCATATGGCGACCCGCTGAACAAGGGGTCACGACCCACCAGTTGAGAACCAAGGCTCTAGTGGATTCCTTCCGTTCAGCGTTTTTTTAGTGTGGATGGAGAAGTCCTCCTTGCCGGGCTGTTCTCTCTCTCTCGCCTTGCTCGCCCTTTCTCTCTCTCGCCTTGCTCACCCTTTCTCTCTCTCTCTCTTGCTCGCCCTTTCTCTCTCTCTCTCTCGCCTTGCTCTCTCTCTCGCCTTGCTCTATCCCTCTCTCTCGCCTTGCTCTATCCCTCTCTCTCGCCTTGCTCTATCCCTCTCTCTCGCCTTGCTCTATCCCTCTCTCTCGCCTTGCTCTATCCCTCTCTCTCGCCTTGCTCTATCCCTCTCTCTCGCCTTGCTCTATCCCTCTCTCTCGCCTTGCTCTATCCCTCTCTCTCGCCTTGCTCTATCCCTCTCTCTCGCCTTGCTCTATCCCTCTCTCTCGCCTTGCTCTATCCCTCTCTCTCGCCTTGCTCTATCCCTCTCTCTCGCCTTGCTCTATCCCTCTCTCTCGCCTTGCTCTATCCCTCTCTCTCGCCTTGCTCTATCCCTCTCTCTCGCCTTGCTCTATCCCTCTCTCTCGCCTTGCTCTATCCCTCTCTCTCGCCTTGCTCTATCCCTCTCTCTCGCCTTGCTCTATCCCTCTCTCTCGCCTTGCTCTATCCCTCTCTCTCGCCTTGCTCTATCCCTCTCTCTCGCCTTGCTCTATCCCTCTCTCTCGCCTTGCTCTATCCCTCTCTCTCGCCTTGCTCTATCCCTCTCTCTCGCCTTGCTCTATCCCTCTCTCTCGCCTTGCTCTATCCCTCTCTCTCGCCTTGCTCTATCCCTCTCTCTCGCCTTGCTCTATCCCTCTCTCTCGCCTTGCTCTATCCCTCTCTCTCGCCTTGCTCTATCCCTCTCTCTCGCCTTGCTCTATCCCTCTCTCTCGCCTTGCTCTATCCCTCTCTCTCGCCTTGCTCTATCCCTCTCTCTCGCCTTGCTCTATCCCTCTCTCTCGCCTTGCTCTATCCCTCTCTCTCGCCTTGCTCTATCCCTCTCTCTCGCCTTGCTCTATCCCTCTCTCTCGCCTTGCTCTATCCCTCTCTCTCGCCTTGCTCTATCCCTCTCTCTCGCCTTGCTCTATCCCTCTCTCTCGCCTTGCTCTATCCCTCTCTCTCGCCTTGCTCTATCCCTCTCTCTCGCCTTGCTCTATCCCTCTCTCTCGCCTTGCTCTATCCCTCTCTCTCGCCTTGCTCTATCCCTCTCTCTCGCCTTGCTCTATCCCTCTCTCTCGCCTTGCTCTATCCCTCTCTCTCGCCTTGCTCTATCCCTCTCTCTCGCCTTGCTCTATCCCTCTCTCTCGCCTTGCTCTATCCCTCTCTCTCGCCTTGCTCTATCCCTCTCTCTCGCCTTGCTCTATCCCTCTCTCTCGCCTTGCTCTATCCCTCTCTCTCGCCTTGCTCTATCCCTCTCTCTCGCCTTGCTCTATCCCTCTCTCTCGCCTTGCTCTATCCCTCTCTCTCGCCTTGCTCTATCCCTCTCTCTCGCCTTGCTCTATCCCTCTCTCTCGCCTTGCTCTATCCCTCTCTCTCGCCTTGCTCTATCCCTCTCTCTCGCCTTGCTCTATCCCTCTCTCTCGCCTTGCTCTATCCCTCTCTCTCGCCTTGCTCTATCCCTCTCTCTCGCCTTGCTCTATCCCTCTCTCTCGCCTTGCTCTATCCCTCTCTCTCGCCTTGCTCTATCCCTCTCTCTCGCCTTGCTCTATCCCTCTCTCTCGCCTTGCTCTATCCCTCTCTCTCGCCTTGCTCGCCCTTTCTCTCTCTCGCCTTGCTCCTCGTGCAGCCCCCATGGAAGAATTGAATGTGCCCAGAGACCCCTGCTCTACACTGCCTAGTAGGGGTTGAGTGCGGGGGAAACTCCTATTTTCTCGTGTACTCTCCCTCTCTATACCAGTTTGAAATAGATGCGAGCAGCTGCCACGTGTAATGTGTATGACTGACCTGTGGTGATGTTCTTTCTTTAGTTCCCATGTTTGATAATCGCCTTTTCAACGGCATTCCCATCGCTCCCCAGCACCTGGCAGTGCCTAATTTCAGCGCATTCCCCTACAACACCTCGATGCCGCAAGAAGCCTGGAGTGGCCACCACAGATTTCCCAAGAGGAGAAACATGGGTCCGATGCCAGGCTGGAATCACCCGGATTACCGATATGCGCCTTTTCCAACCCGGATCTAATAATGGCCAGAGAAACCAAGGCTGCCCACTTGTGGGGGGGGAGGCTGGCACCTCATTTTGCCTTATCCTGTTCTACCTCCTGTTATTGTCTGGCTAAGGCATGGCACCTTATGTCCTGGGTGAACTGGCCGGAACCGTTGGTGGTAACGTTCCAGAACGTGGGCAAGTTTTTTTTGCACTTTTCTGAGAGTTTTTATTAAATTTTCTTTGCTGAAGCGCTCGGGGAATTTCCTCTAATTATTCACAGCGTTCTTGTAAATGGACCGAGCCGCCTCACACAACAGTCCACTGCTCTCATGAAGTCACAATCCTCTTATTACTCCTGGAGCCCCGCGATATCGTTTCGGGGGCGTCTTTCTCCTGATGATGAACTTCAAAGTATTCCTGTGAAGAGGAACGTTTTGTAATCCGAGTTTTCTAAGCGATGTTGAACATTTCCTTTTTGAAGAAAGTTGTTACACTGAAGTGTTAGATTGTTTGTATGTTGAAGCACTTTATTATGTTTTGTGTTGAACTTTTTTTGTTGTTGTTGGTAAGTTCCTGTGTATAGATCGGCACCTCCTAATGGTATTATTTCTTTAATTTCCCATAATTCAAAGTTCTTTCTAAACTGATTACACAGATGACAGTTAATATCACTGCTCCCGATGTGGATCCTTGTTATCATGAGCAACAGCTGCTTGAAGAATCTTCAAAAATACATCTCTTGGGTAGTGTCGGATGTCTAGTCTACTACTGCACCGACCTCTTGGTCTTGTAATGATACAGGGGCCAAAGGGAGGAGCCCGAGAATGCAATGCGGGGGGGATTTAGAAGCGAGAC